AGGTCGTGCACGTAATCAAACACGTGGTTATTAGAGTTCAGTCGAAATGTAGTGAATATTGCGATCGAAGTGCACTGTCCAGAGTTTATATATTATATTATAGTAAAATTTAACTTGACACATGGTATGGTTTATATTACATGTTCACTTCATTTCGAATAAAAAAAATCACCATTGGAACATCGATGAATCACAAGTATATAAAATATTTCCTCGACTTTCCGTAGACACCTGACTACTATCAGTTTTAATGATTTAAATGCGCCCATGTTTATGTTTGCGTAATTATTACGAATGCAACGCATTATCAAGTCGGTAATATTGAAATATTCACAGACCCAATACCCCGGGTCAGCATCCTAACAATAGTAGAAATTAACTTGAGTTTGCGTAATTATCATGAAAGCAATACATTACAAAACTGAAATATTCGGAGCAAGTACAATATTGTAAACAAATTTGCGTAATTAGAAAAGCAGTGCACTAAGTAAACGACGTTGACATATTCAAAGCCAGTACAGATTTGCATACAAGTTGCGTAATTACAGTACCTTCGGATATAATAACAATTTTACTAGATCGACGCGCGGACCACAAAAGAAAAAGGTTGCTAAGGTAAGTGTGTCCTTACGTACAGTGACGTCAACAATATTACAGTCCCTCAACACTTTACATCATGATTACATTAAAGACGTGTTGGAAAGGAAGTCCATTTTGGGCTAGTGCCATTGTCAAATTTCGGAGAGTAGAGGACTTTTTATACTGGAGACGTTCCAGTACGCAGTTGTTCAATTGGCATATCAAAATCCTTTATTTGAATAGGGCATGTTCTATATATTCACCAAAATAACAATGTTGCCATGTTTCTAGGCATACATCGAACTTGAAATTGTTTGATCCAAACGACCTGTGACCTTTGAAATCAAGTCTTATGGCCTGTGTGTTTCCGATAGAAAATACCAGCGAAGATTTCTGGGGAACAAATATTAATGCTGTATTTCACTTTGATGTGGGAATAGGTGACAAAGGTCAAAACAAATTTGAGGGAATCCGAAAACGTAACTTACTGCACATGAATTTCACAGCGAAGTTTTCAACGTTCTGGTTATCTCTGTGTGACTGCAGTCTTTGAAACAAAATTGGGGGACTCTAGAAACGCAATTTATGACATGACAAAAATGCAATGTAATGCAAATCACAACGAGTGATTGGAATGTTAGCCCAATCTTCCATGTTTATTTGGCAATATGAATGATTCAGCCCAGTGCTTAGATAGGTTATTATAGGCGCCCAGGGAATCTAAATTTACTGTGAATGGCTTTCCAAGCGAAAATGTCAAGGTAAAAAAAAAAAAAAAAAAAAAAAAAAAACGATTTTCGCCCAACCATCCATTTTTTGGGTGATATATCATTGATTCAGACTAGCGGTGATATAACTTATTTATAAGAGGCGCCAGGGAACCAAAATTTGGGACGTGAATTATTTGGACGACAATTATAGAGAGACTACTTACTGCGACAATAGCTACGTGACTGCGAACCCAGTCATATTTTAATTTTTAGTAAGCGAAAGTAAAACCTGTGTTTATGCTATGAGAAAGTGTAGATCTTGATTGTACTTTAGTGCAAATTTAAGGTAGCGAGAAGGGAAATTTTCGCTTTTTTCTTGATTTTTCAAAAATCGATAAAACGGTTACTTTAGACCTTGATGCATCACCCCAGGTTTACAAAAGATCGAAATTGCGAAATAACGTTGCTCAAATTAGTGTTTTAAAACACTAGCAGAAAAGACTACAACTGCCGTTTCGTGGATATTTGCATAGTGTTTATCTTTGGAAGGAATTAAATGATAAAATCTTATCTGTATACTCTGTTGTTGACGATTCTGATATAACGAGTGATAAGCTTCCAGTTGCAAACAATGCGTGTTTATCTAACGTCCATTGTCAGCATTATTGTCAGTCGAGACTTCGTCGGAGAAACATGGTCATACAGTACTCATTTCGCCCAACCTTCCGCTTTTACATCGACCGCTTATCGCTTAATTTCCGACCACGCGGTCTTGTCCGACCGGAAACCGACCGCATTTTAATCGCGTTTTTTTTT